GTATGTTTCCACGTTTCAGCGGAAGATTCATTCCGTTTTTGCTCATCCTATCGATGGAATGTGTGTGTGTGAGAGTTATCGCCTCTCTCTCTCAATGCGGGAGGAAACACAGAGAGGGGGAGAGAGAGAGAGAGAGAGAGAGAGAGAGAGAGAGAGAGAGAGAGAGAGAGAGAGAGAGAAACAGACAGAGCAGACAACATAAGACGCCATCAGCGACTGTTGCTGTGCGCCACGGCGTTGTCGTGGCGGGGTCCACTTGTTTTTGTTAACACATGCAAGTCGAACGTTGTTTTGTCAGTTGAAAACAAAAAATGCAAACGGGGGGCGTAAAATGCGCGGGAATGTACCAAACAGTTTGGGGATTTCGGGGATATCCCAAACACTCTATTTAGAGTTTTAAACACGCGCAACAGAGGTTTTTGTGATCCTCTTTAACCCTGTTGCAGATTTTCTTATGTGTACATTACAGCCATATATTGTTGCCTTTTTTATGCTCTTTCACCCTGTGGCAGATTTTCCTGTGTGTACATGACAGCCATATATTGTGTGCCGTTCCCCTGAATACCTGTGATAAACATTGCTTGAGGGCGATGAGAAGTCTCTACGCAAATCGTCGGTGCAATCCAAACATCTGGGCAGCCATGCTGACAATCCGTATGTCTGGGTCTGGATCCCATTGTCCAGATGGTTTTCCCAATTGTTTCCCCAAATTCGGATGTTTTCAAACAGGAAAAAAAAAAAATGAAATTTTTGAATGAAAAAGTTGTGCAGAATGATAGTACAAAGGTTTTGCGACATTCCCCATGCATTATGCATGACCGGACCGCACCTTTTGGGCCTGAGGGATTGTGCGACATTTGTAGTCACATTCGGGGGAAAGAAAATCAGATCACAAAGAAAACAAACATATTTTCTGGGGCGCCTCCGTCCTTGTCCGAATCAGTGGCATCTACACCTAAGCCGGCATCTGGTCCACATGGTGTCCAGTTACAGATCCAGCGGAACCCATGATGCGAATCCTTGCTGAAGCTTGGTTACGTCTACTTTTTCACACCAAATGCGATCCGTGTCTGGATCAATGGCGTCTAGACCGAGGGCTGTATCTGAACTGCCGCGATATCCGGACTGACCAACGGACATCCACGCCGTGTCCTTATGATCTGACTGCTTTCTACTCTACCTTATTCACCGGAATAGAACAGCCGTTCATTCTCTACTTGTATTCGGTGCAATTTTCAGACTGGATACAGCGATAATAATGGACTGATGAATTTCAGCCTATGCTTGTCATTTAAACTCTCCACGCTGTTGACAGTGCTTATCTCTACAATGTCTACATACATCTGAATCTTCCAACGCCTGCTGATCTCTCGTTTACGGTCAGAGTTGTCTTCCTTTTTTTTTCTTTTTTTTTTAACAATTCAATTCTTTATATTGCATGGAGTTGTCTTCCAAAAGTTCCAAGTGTTCTTTAAAGTTTAAACTTCTTTTTAAAGTTTTTTTTAATATATATTTTTTTATTTAATAACTTAATAATAAGTTAATTTGTGGCTTGATTCGCTTGGTCCTTTTGAATTCTGCAGGTTGAGACAAGGAAAAGTGAATTGGAAGAGCTTCTCTCTGCAAATCTGTTGAAAAGACAGTCTGAGCTGGAGCAGCAGCTCGCCTCAATGGACACAGAAACAAGAACTCTGGAGTCGGAGGCTAAGCAGAAAGCGCTAGACGAAGCACGGGCACATGTGGAAGAGATCGGTCGCAAGCAGAAAGGTGTGTGGTGCAAATGACCGATCTTCCCTCCCATAAAATCTGGAGACGGTCATTAGCCAAGAAGAGGCTTTTGTTCTGCAGTTTTTTTTTTCTTTTTTTCCTCCCTTGTTTTTGGAAAAGGGGCCCGATGGAACATCAAAATCAAAACAATCACTATGCTTGCCTTTAGCAAGATGCTGGAGAAAGGTTAGCAATCTTTCATTAGCAAAAAATCTGACCCGTTTGAGTATATAGAATCACTATACTTGCCTTTAGCAAGATGGCGGAGAAAGGTTAACAATCTTTTTTTTTTTTTTTTTTTTTTTTTTTTAAACAGGTCGTTATGGTCCTGGCTCCATATCCATTCTGGGGAGCGTCAGTCCGGTTCCTTTCCACCGGCAAGTCGAGAATGAAATACATGGTGAACACCCACACGCTTCCTTCCGTCTGGCCGAAGGAACCCTGACCAGCATTGATTGCTCCTTATCAGGAGGATTGAYTGTCAGCTTGCCCTACCTCTTTTCCTCTCAGAATCTATAATGACTCTGCCAGATACTACGTATAAAGCAGRAAAAGGGGAGAGTTGTCTAGGCTGTTGAGATTATAATCTCAGTTAGTTCTTCAATGGGACCCTGTTCTTGTGTTGTGCCACTTCTTCCACACCATTCTGTTGTCCACCACTGTAGTGATCTTTCCCTGTAGAAGCCAGTCTCTTATGAATTGACGTCTCTTTGTGGCTGTCCTTTCTGGTCTGCCTTTCGTCGTCATGGATATTTCTCGCCATCTGGAACGAATCTCTGTTTCCGCCATTCTCAGCAGTAAAACCCACATTTCCTCTCTAGGCAACTCAGTTCCTTCAATCGTCTTGGAGCATCTCCTCTTCCAGATTACCCAAAGTGCCAGCGTTCTGAGAAGGTGGAACCACACATCCTTGCCTCCTCTAAGATTGTTAGTGTCGCTAGATAGGAGCAGGATGTTCAGGGGGGTTGTGGCCGGGGGGGTGATGAGAAAAGAGAGGTCCATAGGATGCGCACTTTGTTCCAGATCCATGTTGCCTCTGTGCAGTATAAGAGGCAGTGAAGTGTGTCCTCCACAGCGTTGTCCGTGCACAGTCTGCATATATCAGTGCTGTCGGGGTCTGTGTGTTTTCTTCTCTTGTGGAGCCACTGATTGGTTGGCAGAGAGGCGTGAGCTAAGAGCCATTGCATGCTTCGAATCCTAGCCGGTCTAATGGTTAAGAATTTAGTCCACGGGATGGTTATGGGGGTCGAGGGGTCCAGACTCAATATGTCCCTCCATTTGCTTTTGAGTCTGGGGTCTGGGTCTGAGGTATGTAGGCCTAGATCATAGCCGAATTTGACATTGTATTCTGCTATTGTTCTCGTCTTCCCTGATTTTCCCTGTTTCCATATCCATTCTTTCGGGTCGAATTCTAGCTCTGAGATGCATAGATCCGGTCAGAAGATTTTCCAGGGTTTGGACTTTGATACCCTCACTTTTCTCAGTCGGAAAGTCTCCAGCATCTCATTCTGGGGGTCGAGGGGTCCAGACTCAGTATGTCCCTCCATTTGCTTTTGAGTCTGGGGTTTGGGTCTGAGGTCTGTAGGCCTAGATCATAGCTGAATTTGACATCGTATTCTGCTATTGTTCTCGTCTTCCCTAAGTTTCCCTGTTTCCATATCCATTCTTTCGGGTCGAATTCTAGCTCTGAGATGCATAGATCCGGTCGGAAGATTTTCAGGGTTTGGACTTTGATACCCTCACTTTTCTCAGTCGGAAAGTCTCCAGCATCTCGTTCTGGGGGTCGTTGTTCTGGACTTCCATTTCATTTGTGATATGTTTTACTACCGGGTAGGAGTAGAAGTTGGATAGGTACCCGGGTGGGTTTGTTCTAGCGACGAATCTGTATGCTCTGGTAGGTTGGGTTTGGGAGACTGGTATGCCCCAGTCCCCGTACTTCCACGAAAATTCCTCTCTAAGGAGGGGGATCCACTGTGTTGGGATGCTATTTTGGATCATTGTTAAGTTATCAGAGAGGGCGTGGCAGCCTTTTAGTGTGGTGCGTAGTTCCTGATCCGTCGCCCACCGTCCTTGGTCTTCTACCCAGATGTGCTTGACCTGCCACACTCCTTTTTCTACCCACGATAACCATCTTCGGTCCCGAGAGCGTAGGGTCCAGGTTGTTCCACTGGGGTCARTGATCCAGGGGTTGCAGAATAGCGGTTGTCTCAGGACTTYTTCTCTRTTACCAGGTGCCCCGTGTTTGCTTGGCATCATTTTGCGCCATGCTTTGATGGTGGGGCTCCAATATTTGCTGACTGTCTGCGTTGTGTTTGTGTTGGGYTGTGCAAGAATGTGYTGTGTGGGGTTTCTTTTGYGTGTTCTGCCGGACTTGATTGTCCATTCCTTTGCCATAATCCAGAACAGGCCGTTCATGTTTGGGGGGGWGTTGATGGGAGCTAAGTTTYTGATGYTGTCTAGCGCCATTTGGGTCCACGGGAGGAACTGTCTGGTGAGAATCTTGATTATCCATTTCATCTGTAGTGCTATGGATTCCTGTTTTGGGTCGATTATCCCGAGGCCCCCTTCCCGTGGCTTCCTAGTGATGTGGCTCCATGCGACCCTGCTGATGCTCTGCTGATGCAGGTGGTCCTGTTAGGGTCACCTGTCTATAGATAGCACCTCACCCTGTTCTTGAGCTCCTTGAGGTCGTCGTCGGGGGGGGACCAGATTGATGCCAAGTACCACAGTGTAGAGAAGATCGCTGTGTTGATAAGTAGTGCCCGTCCGATTAGTGAGGCCTGGGCGTTTTTGCACAGGGTCAGGCGGGTGATCGCTCTTGCTATCAGATTCTGGCCCANTTTGCACAGGGTCAGGCGGGTGATCGCTCTTGCTATCAGATTCTGGCCCATTCCCTGCCAAACTCCTTCCTTGTTGATCATGATGCCCAGGAACCGTAGTGCTTGCTCTCCCGTGGTCCAAGTCATGGGTGTGGTTGTGTCCGGAGGTTGGGGAGGGGTGTCGTCTGCTAACCACCATCCTTCGGTTTTATTCCAATTGACCCTCATTTCTGATGCCAGTCTAAATGCTTCCATTGCCCTTACCAATGATTGGAAGGAACTGTTGTTTGCTCTAATGAGTACCGTAAGGTCGTCAGCGAACATGAGTGCAGTGGGTAGGGCGAAGTCGTGTAGCAGGTTGAAGTTCCGTTCTGTGAGGCGGTCAATTGACGGGTCTTTGCGGAGAAACGAGGCTATGGCTTCCATTATGAAGAGAAAAATGGGGGGAGCCAGTGGGTCGCCTTGTCTGACTGACCGTGAGATTGGGTAGGTTTCTGATAGGATTCTGTTGACCTGGACTCTTCCTGTTGCATCTGCATACAGGATTCTCACCCAAGTTCTGAAGTTCGGGCCTACCCTCATTTTTTCCATGCATGCATGGAGAAAATCCAAGTTAACTTGGTCGTAGGCTTTCTCGAAGTCGAAGAACAGGATTGCTGCCTTCATTCGTTTCTCCATGATCTTTTTTGCTGCTTCATTCAGAGTCGTCACGTTGTCCAATATGTAACGACCTGGGATGAAGCCTGCTTGATTGATGTGGAAGCAGTTGTTAGTTAGTTTTGTGATTCTGTTTGCAAGTGCCTTGGCTAGGATTTTGTATGGCGTGGTTAGTAGGGAGATAGGTCTGTAGTTTTTCAGGTCTTCTTTATCTCCCTTCTTGTACAGCAATGAGACTACGCTGGTGCTCAGTTCCTTACCTAGGCCTCCTTTGCGCATGCTTTCGTTGAAAAAGTCGAGTAGGTCCTCTCCCAGGGTCGATCAGAAGGAGCTCCAGGATTCCTTTGAGAGGCCGTCGATGCCCGGGGCTTTGTCATTTCCCATCTGGTTCAAGGCTGTGTGCAGTTCGGCCAGGGTCAGTGGTCTATCCAGGCCTTCCGCCTGACTAACCAAGATGGTTCTGTTGAGGTACGATAGCATCAATTGGTGGGCTGCTAGGTTCGCTGTAGTCGGGGGTGAGGGGGTCTTGGCTTCGTATAGATCTGCGTAGAAGGATCTGGCTATCCCTACCATCTCCGGGCCTGTTGTTTTTGTGCTTCCTGAGTCCGATGGGTCTTTGAGTGCCTCTATCATGCTGTTCCTGGCGTTCGCCTTGATCTTGGAGAAAAAGAATTTTGTCATAGACTCGTTAAGTGCATAGTCTGTCATCCTCGCCCGTATTTGTAAACCTCTGAGTTCCCATCTTCTCCATTCGTTTAGTTCCTCTTTGGTGTTGTCTAGTAATTCTTGGTAGAAACTACTGGTTGGGTCCTCCGCCAGATTTTCTTCAGCGACGACCATCGCGAATTGGAGTTCATCCCTTCTTCTTTTTCGGTCTCTAGCAATATCTCTTGATTCCGCTGATACTGATCGTGTTAGTTCTGTGTAGCTGTCAATGAACCATTGGTGGCTATTTGTTCTCCCCGATTCTCGCTGCTTATTGATAGCCCAGTTTTCTTGGACTGTCGCCTTCATTCTTTTGGTTTTTAATAATGAGTTGTTAAGCTTGAAGAAGCCTTGGCCTGTTTGAACTGGCACATTGAAATTGAGCAGCATCTGGATGGGTTTGTGATCTAGTCCTTTAAAGGCTGCTGATGGGAGGATTTCGGCCCCTTTGACTGTTCCGAGTAAGCTCTCGGATATGAGGAAGTAGTCAATCCTGGACAGCGAAGTCCGGTTGGCTTGGTTTCTCCTTATCCGGGAGAAAATTCTCTTGTCCGAGTGCTGTTACATGAGGGGGTCGCAGAGTTCGAATTCAGTCATCAGGTTTCGAATCCGGGTGCCCGCTCTAGTGGGTCCCATTAGTACCGTTCTTGAGATCCGATCCAGGTTCGGGTCCAGGGTTGTGTTCCAGTCCCCTGCAATGATTACTGGCTGTGGGTTGGGGATGAGGGGTTTGATATTCTCAAAGAAAATCAGTCTGTCAGATTCCGTGTTGGGTGCGTACAGGTTGAGAATTCGCAGATCTTCACCTTGCCACTTGAT